CCCCCTCTTCTCAGTCAGCCCTTCCCTCCTCCCCTTTTGTCAGCCTCGCCCCTCTTCTCCTCCTCCGTCAGCCCTTCCCTCCTCCCCTTTTGTCAGCCCCGCCCCGCTTCTCCTCAGTCAGCCCTTCCCTCCTCCCCTTTTGTCAGCCCTGCCCCTCTTCTCCTCCTCTGTCAGCCCTTCCCTCCTCCCCTTTTGTCAGCCCCGCCCCCCCTTCTCCTCCTGAGTCAGCCCTTCCCTCCTCCCCTTTTGTCAGCCCTGCCGCCTGTTTTCCTCAGTCAGCCGTCTCCTCCTCCTCCTCCTCCTCCCCCCTACTCTACCCCTTCTCAGAGCCCTCATCCCTGCCCCTTCTCCCTCATCTTGGTCCTTCTTTCTCTTCCTTAGTAGCCCCCTCCTACTTTGCCCCTGCTCTTCCCTTCCTCACTCGGTTGGGCCTTTCTTCTTCCTCAAACCATCCCTTTCCTTCACCTCAGTCTGTCTCTTGTCCTAGAGGCCCTCACCCTTGCCCTAGTTCTGCCCCTTCCTGCCTCAGCAGGGTTCCTCTCTCAGCCCTGTTTCTCCTTCACTACGCTCTGACTTCTAACATCTTAGAAATGTTTTATATAATGGAATCATGTAATTTGTATTTTTTGAGCCTCGTCTTTCAATAGTATAACATCCATGTTCTCATTTCTATTTAGATTTCCAGTATATGAATATGTATTTCCACTGAGGCTCCATCTCCTTGGCAATACTTAGTATTCTCTGACTCTTTTATTTTTGGATATTCTGAAGGGTACATATTGATGTCTTATTGTACTTTTAACTTGTGTATCTCTGATAACTAATAAAGTCAGGCCCTACTTTATGTTAGCCATTTAACTATCTTTTTTGTATATTACCTCTTAAAATCTTTTAATATTTTTGCCCTGTTTTGTCTGCCTCTTTCTTATTCTAAGTTCTTAGTCTATTTTGCATATGAATCCAGTTCTTTGTAGGATGCACATATTGTCAGAATTTTTCATTTCTTTCTTTTTTTTTTTTTTTTCGAGACAGGGTCTCGCTATGCAGTTCAGGCTGGCCTTGATCACTTTGTAGCCCAGGCTGGCCTTGAACTCACGGTGATCCTTGTGCATCAACCTCCTGAGTGCTGAAATTACAGGAGTGAGCCATTACAACTGGCATTCTCATTTCTGTATAATATAGTTGTTTTAACTCATTTTTTAATGAAATGCTGTCTTATGTGGTTTATTAATTTACTTTATTTCATTGTGCTTGGAGTTCAAATCTCTTTTCCTTTGAAAAGCCTGTTGTGGATTTTTTGGGAATAGGGCTGAGATACCATCTGTGCACCTATACACAAAGTTCTATGAAAGTATGTTTAGACATTTGTATGATACAGGCTAACTAACTCTTTTTGCTTCAGACCCCTCCACCATACTGTCCAAAACATACTATGCACTTCTTTTGTAAGTGTCTCTGTAATATCTGCAGGTCCTGAGTTCTTGGTGTCTTTATATCTGGTACAACTCTGCCCACCCTACCATCTTCCTCAAACCATATATAAACCAGCTTGGCTTGCAGAGTGCTTGAATCCTGTAAAGGACTAAGCTGCAAAGATGCTATATGTGAGGGAGGTTTGGATGTTGTGAAGAATCCCCACATCTTTCATCTATGCAATCAAGAGGAGAATCCAGAAATTAGTCCGATAAGAAACCCAGGAGCTGTAAATAATTCTAATCAACTGTTTAGGCATTTTCATTATTTGTCACTAACTAGGCCTCACCAAACTGTGAGCCAGATCCAGGAGCTTTGCAGACAGTGGTTGCAACCAGAGACTCTCACAAAGGAGCAGAAGATAGAGTGACTAGTGCTGGAGCAGTTTCTGAGCACCCTGCCAGAGGAGGTTCAGACAAGGGTGAGGTCAAAGCAGCTGGAGAACAGCAGGAAGGCAAGCATGCCGGTCACAAAATTGGTCCAGGCGTGTGAGGATCCAGGTGAGACAGGTAAGAAGCAACTGGTTGTTTCTGTCTGCTGAATGTCTGCTGTATACATATATGTATTAGGAGCTGAATAAAAGAGCGCATTTTACACATTGGGTCTAATCTGCATAATCTCATATGAAATGGAAGAAATTTAGGCTTTGGTTTTTGCTTTAATATTTATTATTTCTCTGAGAGTACCAACTTTGTCCCCCACCCCACGCTACTTATTCAGTCTAAGCTCTAATATCAACAAAAAAGCAAAACACATACTACAAAAAAATCTTCTAGGATTACTCATGGTATTAAGTGTTGCTTTTGTTGTTGTTGTTTTGTTGGTTTTTGTCTGTTTGAGACAGGGTCTGGCCATGTAGTTCAGGCTGGCCTTGAGCTCACTTTGTAGACCAGGCTGGTCTTGAACTCACAAAGATCGTCCTGCCTCAGCCTCCCGAGTGCTGGAATTACACAAGTGTGCCACCACGCCCAGCCAATGAGTGTAAATTTGAAGAAGTTAATTTTTATTTGGCCATTCCATTCAAGGACAAGAACAGATTTTTAAAAAAATGAATGGTTAAATTTTAGGTGCAAGAGGGCATAAAATGTGGCAGGCTTGGAAGTTTAACCTCTGCCAAAATGTATTGATCTCTTGGTAACTCAGGTTATTAGATTGGAACAAGGAGAGCATTTCAAGAGTAAAAGAAGAAAGCCACTCAATTCTCATAATTCTTTAAATAAAAATAAAACTAAAAATATTGTTGAAAGAGAGAGGAAAAATAAATACAAATGTAGGATTGTAGCTGTGTCTGGAATGAAAGCTGGAGCATGTACAGGGAGAAGCACATAGCGGGTGTGAGGGGTGTAAGTTACTGAGAATGTTTTAGTTTGGGGTTGGATAGTGAACTCCCAGGCCCTATTTACACTTGGGAATGAAAGTAAGTAAACTTAAACATGAAGATGTGTGGCTCAGTGCCGATAATGTATAATAAACTAAGGATTGTGCTTTAACCAGTTCTGCATGCCTGCATCCCTTAAAATGATTTTTAAGGTGTGTGTGTGTGTGTGTGTGTGTGTGTGTGTGTAGTACAAGACAGGGAATTAAAGGCCAGACCTTTGCACTGAGCTACATCTCTAGCCCACTTTTTACTTTTTAATTTGTGACAAGGTCTTGCTAACTCAATAAATTGCCAGGTCTGGGCTTCTCGTGCCAAAACTGAGTCTGGGAAAGGAACAACTCCTGAGAAAGTCCAGAGGCAGGGAACAGCTTTACTTTACACCAGTGGTCCTGGCGGGAATAACTTGCAACAAAAGCCAGGCAGTGAGTGTTTGTGAGCCAGCATTTTATATGAGGCATGAGCAGGGGTTACGAAGGCAGGACAGGGCAGCCTGGCAGTTCTTCTGTTTAGCTAGCAGGGTGAGATCAGCAGTTACAGGGCAAGATTAATGACCATTAATCAGACATCCTGTATGTTCAGTTATGCTCTTGTCATTGCAGGGATCAAGAAAGCAATTACAGAGCCATGGCACAGTTACACAGCTAGGCAGCTTCAAAGAACAGAGTTTTAAAAACAATTTTTCCTTGTACAGTTTTTCCCTTTCAGGCTCAAACTTGTCATCTCCCTGCTTCAGCCTCCCAGAGTGCTGGAATTACAGGCATATGCCGCCATGTGTGCCTTTATAGTGTACATGTTGAACGCTTACAATGTATTATTGTAGGCATTTTTACATATGAATTAATTTGCTTTCGTTAACAGCTTTGTGAAATTTCTTGCACTGTATAGACCAGGAAGCAGGCACAAAGCTGAGTAATTTGCCCATGGTTCCACAGCTCTTATTGGCAGTCAGGCTGCTGGCTCCCCTCTCTGCGGTTTTAATCACAGTGTTACACTACCTTGAGTGAACAGAGTGGGTATTGACCCAGACTTCAAAGACTTGGCCAAAGGCCCAGAACCATAGGAGCTGCAGGTCAGGGGGGATTAGAGTGTAGCCTAGGATATGAGGAAGAAACAACAGATTAATGAAAGGTGTACTTGAAACAAAGAGTGCAGGCAAGGAGTATCTTCAAGGTTCAGGCTCCTGGAAAAAAGGCTGTCTTCTAGGTCAGTAAGTGAAAAGGATGTAGGAAAGGCTCAATAAGGGCGGCTGCTGATACTGTATAGGGAGAACTTTCATTTTATTGGAAGATAGTGGGGAGCCATTGAAGGATTTAGAGCTAGGAAAATACCAGAGCTCCTTTTTTGGGCTTTGCTGTGTTAAAGGAATAAATGATTTTGTTGGCCTTTCTCTCACCATAGGAAGTCCATCAGGGCAAGATAGGGCGGTGGGAGGAGGCAGGCAGTTTCACGTCCGTGTGTGCTGCCAGACAGGGTTCAACTCCATGGCCATTCTTCTCTTCTAGCTCTCCCTGCTCAGGACTCTGTCCTTGCAGACAACAGGAACACCCAAGAACACCAAAAGAAGAATACAGAGGCATTGGACAGTCCTCCCTCTGCTGGGTTCCAGGTAAGACAAGCTTTTGGGGAACTTGGTTCTCAGATACGGGGATCTTGCCTTCCTGTTTCTGGACCCTCCCTATTCAGTTAAATCATATTAAACAGCCTTTGTTTTCGAATATTTCATAGGCTATGTTCCTCTTCCCAGTGGGGAGGTTAGAGTGACTGGGAGCCTATTCCATCAGCCAGGCCACCACTGAAATGTAGGCTCCCTGTCCCAGGGAGTCCAATTCTCTCCCAAGATGCAGTGTAACCCAGGCTGGGGTGTAAGGCATGCTGCAGGGAGGAGCTGCCCAGCTTCTCTGTCCAAACCCCCTGGCGCTGGAGTGGGTCTTTCCTTCTGATGACTTGCCCGACTCCGGTTTTCTCTGTTGTCTCCACTGAAGTGCACCTGCTTCCCTCCAGTGCATGTATCAGAGTCTCTGTCACGTGCTGCCACCACCAAGCTGGCCATGGGGATCCTGTGTCTCGGGTTTTGGGTGTTACAGACATCCCCGTTCACGTATTCATGTGCACAGGAGCAAACCTACCTAGGAATCAAAGGTCTGGGTTCAAAGTGGTTTGTCCTTTACTTTTCCCTTAGCGTCTTCGTCTTGGTTACTTTTTTCTCGCTGCTGGGACAAAATACCTGACGCCCAAATTTAAGGAAGGAAAGGTTTATTTCACTTACAGTTCGTGGAAGTTTCAGTCCATACTTGGCAAATTATAAGGCACAGTGACACATTGCAGAGGGCTGCATTTCAGGGCGGCAGCACACAGCTAAGCTGCAAGCACACACCAGGGCAGAATGGGGGAGGAATGCCCCCAAGCAGCTTCTTCCTCTCCCTTACATATGCAAACTATCCACCCCAGGGTGGGTGTAGCTCTCACACCCACAATCATTCAACTCTAATAGCCTGCCCATGTCCGCATAAGGCACTGGGGGGACACACAGACATAAACCATAACAGTCTTATAGGAGATCCCATGGATAATGCTTGCTGTTGTCACACTTCCTAATTTTGGTCAATTGAATGAATATGGTATATTTTTAGCTTGATTTACATCTTCATAATTATTAGTAAGATTTTAATATCTCTTCATAATTATCAGTTCTCTGAGTTTCACAGATGAGGTGCTGAGGCTTAACCTACTCACACTAAGTTTCTAAGAGCCGAAGCCAGCTGTTTTTTTGTTTTTTTTTTGGTTTTTCTCCAGTACCGGGAACCGAACTCACGACCTTGCGCTTGCCAGGCAGGCACTTTGCCGCTGAGCTAAATCCCCAGCCCCGCAAGCCAAAACTTGAACCCACCTTCCTGATTCTTGGCACCGAGTGTAGTGCTGAACTTTTAAGTCTCTGTATTCTTGCTTGTTCTCTTATACAGTGTCTTAAAAGGCTGTACTTCCTCTATATAAACCTTTAGTAGTTGTTTAGGGACTCTTAGAAGGGTTCCCACCTCTCAGAAAGGTGCTATGCCAAGTCACTGTGGCCTCTGGATTAGTGCACTTGCAAGCTTTCTGCCAGTTTGCATGGCTGCTCCACATTCAGTCCTTTCTCTGCTTCATGTTCAGTCCTTTCTCATTAGGTGTGCTCCCCCTGCCCTGGGGTAACTCCTGGGCTTTAATGGAGTGTTTCTGCTGTTTTAGGAGTTGGTGACGTTTGAAGATGTGGCTGTGACCTTCACCCCAGAGGAGTTCAGTTACCTTACTGCTTCTCAGAGGAAACTCTACTGCGAGGTGATGCTGGAGAATTACCAGAACCTGGTTTCCTTAGGTAAGTGTGTTCTCTGCACAGAGCTTGATTTTCGCCCGCTAGTACCATGGTGCTCAACTCTTCTGCACCTCCCCATCTGTAGTGGTGGCTCACTATCATCTCTAGGTCAGAGGCCATATTTTAATGTCAGGATCACTAATAACAATAAAAAAGATAACCTTTATTGAGCACTTAGTATGTGTCAGGCAGCAGTCTAAGCATTTCACCCATTTTAGCTCTAAGCCTCACATGAGTCCTATGAGGGGGAGATATACTTCCTGTTATTATTATTATTGCCACTTTATATATACACCAGGAAACAGACTCAGAGAAAAGGTAGATTACTTATTTAAAGCTGTGATTTGACTCTTAGAGGCCTGAGGCTAGAATCTGCCCCCTTAAACTCTAATGTGCTGCCTGAAAGACACTACTTTTTCCCAAACCTGATTCTGTTAGCTAGGAAGTACAAGCTTGGTATTGGAATGTCTCAGAATTTTGTTGCTCTTTCATTTTTGCAAAGAGAGAAGACCTCAGACCTGAGCCATACTTAGGCAACAGTAATTAGTATCCAGTAACTTTAGTTTCTGGTGTATCAATTGTTACATTATTTTTTTTTCTGCAAGTGACATTAGTTTCTATTTATAGGATTGATATAAAATTTCCATGTCAAATAAAACTTTTTAAGTTGAAAAGAAAGGTAATCTAAGGAAAAATATTAAATAAATACCAAGTACCACTAGCAATGTCACATAAATGCCAAGTACTACTATAAATGATCAGAATTGAGGGCCATTCATTAATATATCAATGAACTCAGAACGTTTTGTCTCTTACAGGCATTAGGGTTACAAAGTAGCTACTTCTGTTTTCATGGATGTTACTTGTTGCAGGGGAGAGATAGAAAATAAAGGAGCACTAATCTGTTGGTGTGCAAAGGATTTGAGTATTGGAAAGAAGGAACTAAGGGAGAGAGGACAGAGGGGGAATGGAGGTCATCACTGGAGGAACGAGAAGTGTAATCTGGTTCACTTTCTGAATCATTACATCAGATTCCCCACGCTGCGTGTAGAGCTCAGCACGCTACCTTTAGTGCCCTTTGCAGGTTTTACTATGTAGCAGAGTTTTCAGCCTTGGCAATACTGACATGTGAGACCAGTTAATTCTATTGTTGTGCACTGTCTGCATGGCACGATGTGGAGCAGCATCCCTGTCTACCGCCCATTAGATGCCAGGAGCACCTCCCCGTTTCCCAGAGTTGTGACAACAAAAGCTGTCTCCCTATATATCTTCACGGGAGGAAGCTGAGAACTGCTGCTCTCTAAACTTGGAGACAGGTTTTATTTTATTCCTGGAAAAGTTCGCATCTTTAAAAAATTATTCCCACATTGTGAGGAACCAGAACTGAGAGTTCTTGCAGCTCAAGTTACGAGTCTTCCTTCTTGAACAGGGCAGCAGTTTCCTAAACCTGACATTATTTCATACCTGGAAGAAGAGGCGTCAAGAGTGATAGAAGAGGACAGCGGTACAGTGATGTGTCAGAGTAAGTAAAGCCCACAGAGACAGGAATCACGGGAGAGCAGTGACCGCCCCCCCAGTTGATCAGGAGGAGAGCTGGGACATGCTAGTGAGGACCATTCCCCAAAGACCACCCAGCTTGAGGAGAGGGCCACTAGATGCTGTCACTCCAGGGCCTCTCTCTTTTCACTACTTGCCCTCATTTCCTTTCCAAAGTTCATCTCTTCCTGCAGTTCCTCTTGTACTGGTTCCTCTTGTACCCAGCTCCAGGGAGGCTGATTTCCCTTTTTTTCTAGTGTTTTAACCCTTGCATTCTTTGTGCCTTTTTGTTTGTAGCTGGAATCAAAGCTCTTTCCTCTTTAACTGAGATAAAGGAAAAACCTTGGCAAGATATGATCTCTTTCCCACCATGCCCCCATCACTGGTCCCTCAGATTTGTGAACAGCCAGAGACTTTGTTCCCTTCCCTGTACAGGTTGGCCCATGTAGAAATCTTGAAGAAGAGTGTTACAGGCAGAAGGATCGTCACATGAAAGAGATGTCTGTAATGAACTTGGGTGTTCCAGAAAGAGGCAGAAGGGCTGCACGGTCTGAGTGAGGTGGAGGGAGATAATAGGTGAGGCCACAGAAGCGGACAAGCTCCAGCCCACAGACAGCCGGTTAAGGGACATGGATTTCATTCTGAGTGAATTGCAGAGGTCGTGGAAGGTATTGAACAGAGGAGTGAGGCGATAGTATTGACATTTAGAACTGCTGTCCAATATGATAGTCACTGGTGGCTACTTAAACTAGTTAAAGTTATAAGAATTTTAAATGTATTGTGTTGGTCACACCAACCACATTTTAAGAACTTTATAATCACCTATGGCCCATGACTACTGTGTCACACGCAGAAATGCAGACTATTTTTTTGAGGTTGAACCTCCTGGGGTCGAGGGACCTGGGCCTGTGGTAAGCAGTGACAGGGTGAAAAGAGACACCAGAGACCAGGCTGATGGTGCAGATCTATTTTATTGCGGAAGTACCAGGCGTTTTATAGAGCAGGCTAGAGGCGTGGCAATGGAGGCGGGCTAGGGGCGTGGTTTGGAGGTGGTACTATTGGCGGGGGTGGGGGGTGTTGCGGAAGTAAGGTCAGAGCGGGACAGCCTAGGCTGGGCGATTTACTCGGTTTGCCGAGGAGTCTGAGTTTGCTCAGACTCATTCCTCCGCCACGGCCGTCAACCAGACCTCTGGACCCCTTTTTCCACATTTTTTACTGTGGCAGGGAATTCTGTCGTGAGGGGCTGTCCTTGACAGATACGTGTGGCTGTTCTGTGGAGAATGGGTGGGATAATGGAGACACCAGGTCAGGGGTCTTTTAAAGTCCAAGATACTGGTGCTGCACTTGAAGGTGAGGTTTGAGGTATTCTTCCAAAGTAGAACATGTGAATTAATGGATATCCAGCAGGTGGTGGAAACAAGAATTAGGACTGGACTGTCTCTTAATCTCCCAGCATTGACTCTTCCCTTAACACATTCCCACTGGCTTGAAGCACTGGTGGTACATGCAGTATTTCAAGCCAGCAAGTGTGTCACACATTCAAATCAGAGCAGCCTGGCCGCAAGACATACGAATTATGGTCCAATTGTGAATGTGCTAAAGACCATTTCCTAAAAGATCTAATCCACTGTGATGGGTCTGGCTATCCCTCTTTGCCTGGTGGCTTTCTAAACTACATCTGGCTGTGCTGCTTACGTTTTGAATATTTGTAGGGATCACTCCTGTGTTCATTACTGCCTCTTCCAGACTACAATCTTATACTTGATTTCCTTGGCCTCTTTCTCACCCAGGGAATTGCCTTTATAAAGCCCAAATTTTTGACCAGTTTCTTAATACCCTTATAAGAAAATTCAACTTGCAGCAAAATATTTCGCTTCTTTCTATTCGGGCCCGAAATTCATTTACTAATCTCATTTTCCACAGATCCTGCCAAGTAAAATCTCTCTCCTGTTTCTGTCTTCCCAGAACTATTTCCACAGTCTAGTGTCCTTGCCTGGGCTGTTTTCTAGTGTTGCCATCCCCTTCGCTACTTACCAAACCCAATTATGTCCCCTCCACTAATGTTTTCATGGAATCAGCTATCCCATATCTGCTTCCATAGTGACTTTAATCTGATTGGAGTCCATTTTATAGACTTCTGATGTTCATCGGGTTGGATAATGCCTTGCACAAAATAGGCTCATTAAATGTCGCATTGAAGACAATTAGTTGCTTGGCAGTGTAGATCGGGATAAAATGAGATTGGGATCCAAGAAAAGAGAACCCTGTTGCTTTATTGTGAGCAAAAAGTTGTTGACCTGTTTGTTCCACTGTTGCCTCAGAGGTCCTGCAGTACCATGATAATAGGCATTCTTTAAAGATGTTCCATTGTAAAATCAGTTTGAGAAGTGTGACATTCTTGAATGCCTCCCCTTTTAAAATTGGAGGTACGTATCAAAGGTTCTGAAGAATCCTACAGAAATATAGCTTGCTTGACTGGTATTATCTCACATTTCCCAAATTAACACTCAGCTATTAGTTTTTGAGAATATTAGCAATCTACTAAGCATGGTTTGGAAAATGCTGTCAAACCCCCATCCCAAATCTTTCTCTGGTTTCCTCTTCCTAACTCCCTGTCTCTGTCATCTTTGTCAACATGAAGTCCACCCACGTGGTTTCTTCACTGATCTTCTCACACTTCCTTGCTGTTGTCCTTTCTGTTCTTTTCTGGTTTTCTTCTCCATGGGTTCATTCCTAGAACACTTAAAATCTGTAAGATCTATTCCGTTGTCTTTTTCTCTTCTGTTTCTGTTATAATGGCGTGTCTCTCAGAGTAAAAAGAGTAGAGGAACTTTTCCATTTCTTTTAGATTGGGAAAAGGGCTCAAACCAAAGAACCAACCCCAGAGCAAAACCTGCTTATAGAAAAATCACCTTCTGGGGCAGGAATAGTGATTCTGGTGGTAGATGACTTCTGGTGTGTCTGTTTAGGAGACTCTCCTGATCTGCTGGAATCACACCAAGGCAACGAGAAGAAACAAATTTTCAGTCCTGTAACAATGAGCAACACCAAGACCCTTGCTCAGAAAAAAAGCCACAGTAATGATGAATTTGAGAGAAGCTGTAACCTTGCCCAGAAGTCAGAGGGTCTTCCAGGAAAGAATCCCCAGGAATGCAGTGTTGTTGGCATGGGCAGCAGACCCAACCCAGTACAACACTTCAAGTGTAAAATTTGTGAAAGAGCCTTTGGTACCAAAATTGGCCTTATGAGGCATGAGCCGATCCATACTGGGAAGAAACCCTTCGAATGTAAGCAGTGTGGTAAAGCCTTCTTCCTCATGCCGCACCTCACCAGGCACCAGAAGTCTCACACTAGCGAGAAGCCCTCTAGCTGCAAAAAAGGTGCAGAATCTTCCATCCAGCATGCAGAGCTCTCTGGGCACGCAAGAATTCATAGTCAGGAGGACCGCTATGAAAGTGTTCAATGTGGCAAAGCTTTTACCCAGGGTGCACGTCTTTCTCAACATCTTAAGGCCCACAAGGAGCCAGAGGCCCTTCACTCTGTGTGGTCCTGGAACAAGACATACATGATTCGCTACCAGCGGGAAAACGCCTATGTCAGAGAGAAAGCCTGCCAGTGCTGTGTCTGTGGCAAAACCTTCAGTCATAGGGCGTACCTCGTTCAGCACTACCGCATCCATGCTCAAGAGGAGCCTTACCAGTGTCAGATGTGTGGGAAGTGTTTCGGCCGACCCTCACATCTCTGTCAGCATTACCAAATCCATTTTCAAGAGGAAACAGTGGCCGTCACTGTTTAAAAACATTCAGAGAACACACATTTCTCACCATTTCTCACCAGCTTTGTCCCATAGAAACAACTTTGGAGTGTGCTAAATTTCAGAAGGTCTTCTACTTGCCCTTGTCTTTTGTTGTTAACAACTTGGAAAATTCATTGTGGTGTGATGGAAAAAACGGGGAGGATTGGTCACATGGTTGTGCAGCAGCCTTTGTGCACGAGGGGAGTTGGCACACATCAGTAGCCACACAAGCAAAAACCTTAGGGTATTTTTTTGTTGCAAAGGAAAGAAGCTAAGTAGTTTTGCCCTCCTTCAGTGATATTCATGGATAGAGAACCTTGATTTTGGCCTGCTGATAAAAGTTGATAATAGATAGTGGCGCTCCAGACTGGCAGTCTGTGGCCTTAGTTTTTATGGAGGAGTTAACGTGTAATAACTTTACCACATATCAACAAGGTGAAAAGATTTTCTAGGTGTTGCCTAGATTGATTCTTTCACCAAGGTGATGTTATTGGTTATATATTTACATAGTACCTCATAGTGTATAAAATGTTTTCTTATATGTTGTTTTTATTTGATCCTTCAGGGTGCCTAGGGCATGTGATGTCAGCTATTCCCAAAGACCCATACTGTTTCCTTTCTGGGACTGGGCACTGAACCAGGGTCTCAGTGGTGTGAGGCATACACTCTACCCCTGAGCTATATCCAGACCTATTTTTTATTTTGAGGCGGTATCTCGCTGTATTGCTCAGGGTAGCCTTTAACTTGTGCCCCTCCTGCCTCAGTCTCCCAGATAGCCAGGAATTCAGGCATGCACCACCAGGCCTGGCTGAAACCCAGATTTAGAAAGTTGTGCCCCAAGCCAGTTCGCTAATTGCTGGCAAAGTGGTGTTAGTGTCCTGACCACCACTGTGTGTTCTTCTTGGGCCAGCGGCTGTCTCTTCATTACCTCTTCTAAACCTTTTTTTTCATGTGACTCGCTTCCACCACTCCAGCTGGGTCTTAGCCACCTGATTTAAGAGATAGTGAATCGTTTTTGAGGGGTCTGGGTGTGGGCTGTTTGTCTTTGTATGGGCCAGGGCTTAAGGCTTCTTGAGGAGCCTCACTAATTAGGGCAAATCAGGAGCACCAGACTAGACTGTCTTTGTCCTTACGCTCCTTTCGTGCCTCAGCTGACAGCATGGACAGCCTCCACTGCCGTCCCCTGTGGCTCCTGGGCATAGCTGGGCTGTGCACAGTGTCGGCTCCGTAGTTACAGTTAAATGTACTGCGGTGATGGACACCCACCTGTCACCCGGGCTCTTAGCCGACTGCTGCCCTAGTGAGCTGTGAGAGCGATGCGCAGAACTGCTGTCCTGCGTCCGCCTCCCCGCTCCTAACATGTCCAGTGGTTTGGGCATTGCTTTTATGTTGAGTGCAAATTAGTTAATTTTAATTAGTGTAAATTTTAGAAGCACTTGTGTTTTAAGCTTTTTTATAGTTTTTTTCTTTGAGTGTGTGTATTTCTCCCTCCCAGATAGACTTGTTGCTAAAGTTTGTACCTAGTTTTTTTTCTTTCTTTTTTTTTTTTTTTTTGTTGTTGATTTTTGGTTTTTCTCTGGTACTGGGAATTGAACTCACGACCTTGTGCTTGCCAGGCAGGCGCTGTGCCAATGAGCTAAATCCCCAGCCCCTTAGATTTTTTTCCTTAGGCATAGATCCATAAAGACTTACTCTTAAAAAGTATTTATGAAATACTGGCCGTGTTGTTTGGAAGACTGCATTTTTTAGCCTCATATATTGCAAACATCTTTCCATAGCCAGAAGACATTCTGGTTTTCATTTTTCAGGGTTGCCTGAGTGCTTGATTGTGTAGGTGTGTCCCACGTCATTGAGACTCGCAGGGCTGGGAATCAGGGCCGGCTGTGACTTCTCTCTGCAGTGCACATTGCTGCAGTGGTTAGCTCCTGCTGCCTGTCTCTTGAGTGCTAGTATTTGCTTTATCCATTTTCTCATGTTGAGTATTATTTTCTAAGGGAAAATTCTCAGCATTGGAATTTCTGGGCCAAAGATATGTGTTTCTTTGCTTTTGTTGTTGGTTTGAGACAGGGTCTTGCTATGTAACTCACACTGGCCTTGAACTCACTAGGTAGTCCAGGCTGGACTTGAACTCACAGCAGTCCTCCTGCCTCAGCCTCCCGAGTGCTGGGATTACAGGCATGCACCACCATGCCAGGCAGATAGGTGTTTTTTGAAGGCCTAGGAAACACTCAGCCTCATCCCAGCAGGGACTGAAAGTTGTACTGATTGTTTTCCCTAAGAACAACCACAAACTGCTCAGTTCTCCCCCACATCCCTTTCTTTTGGAAAAATTCACACTATGGTTCCATCTCAGGGAATAACAGGCCTGGAAATCAGGCCTGGAAAGAGCCACTGATAAACTGAAATAGTTTGTATGAGAAAGCTAATTTTAACATAGCTTTATTAGGTACTGTTTCCTTGTGAAAAAATAATATTGAGCACATTAAAGAGATTTTGGAAAGCAGTACAGGCTAATAAACTTCCTAATAGTCTAGATAGTCAACCAGTACATGCCAGGAATATAGTTATATTCATAGGTAGAAGAAAGAGTCCAAAGGAGGAAAGAGTTTGGACTTTGGAGCCAGACTTAAGGTCAAATCGCAGCATTCTCCTTAGGAGCCGATTAAGCCTCGTTTTCTTAGGAAACAGAGATGCCACTGTCATCCCAGCCACCCCAAGGGTGCTGTTTGGAGGCTCAAAGTTGAATATAGACAAGACCAGACCAGATATGCTGGCACTCAATAACAGTTAGCTGCTACCATTTAATATTTTTATAGAAGATTTTAAGTTTATTTTAGTGGCAGTAGGCTAGATTTGTAAACCACAGTTACACCCAAAATGCTAGCACGATTTATCATTTTAATCTTAACTATATACATTTTTCTCCACACCACAAATTTGAAGTTCCCATTTTCTCATTTTGTAGTGGCCATTTTTAATGACTGTAGTCACATAAAAGTTTGATAAAGTACATATTTACAGTTGTTTTCTTGGGATGCATTTCTAAAGAGTAATTTGCTGGATGAAATGTGATGTGGATTCCACGGCTCCAGAGAGCCTGCTGAGTGTGTTTCTGGAGGAACTGGGCCGTTGCAGTCCTCAGCAGAGGGAGGCCGGGCTGCAGAACAGCGCTGTCTTGCCTGAGTCATTGGAGGGGTTGCCTCAGTTGCGTTGTGCTTGGTTCCACGGAGCCCAAGGACAGGCTCGGGATCTTTCAGCACCACACCCCAGGCAGGTGAGACACCCTAGGAGAAGTTTGTACTCACAGAGAAATGTCTTTACCACTGTCTTTTTGAATAACACTCTCCTTGAGTAACTTGCTCACATTGGTTGTTTTATCACTTACAGCAGAAATAAAAACTCTGCCTACTTGATAAGGCAAAAAAATGAGTTTTTGCTGACCAACACATTTTTTTATCCAGATGTTTTAAACTACTTGGTGCACAATCTAAATGTTTTACTTGTTCAGCTTTTGTGCCTTCATGCCTTTTCTTACTGTTTTGTATGAGCTCATTTTTCTTTTTTAAAAGTATATATTTATTTTTTATTTCAAAGTAATACTCAGCTCATTAAAGGAAACTCCTGCTTCAGAGAAAGGTAGATCTCTCTCCCTCCCACCTTCTGCCCCCCCAACAAATATACCATTAACACTTCAGTTTGTTTTCTTGCCATTTAAAAGTACCGGGTTTGTGAAAGTAGTTGCCTCTGGGGTGTAGTGGAGAGGACATCCCATTTTCAAGGTCTGTTCCTATTCTTTTTTATCAAGGTGACTGCTACCTGCTTTAATCTGTTTGTAGATCACTGTCATGTAGCTATGACATCTGTGAAATAGCATGCCTTATTTTTCTACCCAGCCGTACACCTTCCAAAACAGCCTTCATCACTCCATTGCATATCACACTTGCTCCTTAATAAGTGTGTGGCATAACTAGTTCTTTGTAAGTATGACCCTCTTCCTCTTTTTCAGATGTTTAATTTAGTTCTGATTTTTTTTCGTAATTATGAATGATATGATAATGAAATTCTGGTGCTTAAATGCTTTTTCAAATTTAGGATTCTTTTTTTCTTAGCTTTTTTTTTTTTTTTTTGGTACCGGGAATCAAACTCATGACCTCAGGCTTGCCAGGCAAGTGCTTATGCCACAGAGCTACATCCCCGGCCCCCAAATTTAGGATTCTTAAGATGGATTTACCCAAAGCAGAATTGCTGGGTCAGAAGGCACATAATGGTTTTAAAGTTCTTGACACATACATCCAAACTCCTGTCAAAAACGTTACACCTGGCTGGGTGTGGTGGCGCATGCCTGTAATCCCAGGAGGCTGAGGCAGGAGGATCACCTTGAGTTTGAGGCCAGCCTGAAGCTGTTTTTTGAGACAGTGGGACCCTGTCTCAAAAAACAAAACAAAAATGTTTCACCAGTGTGCATGCTGTTGGTCTCACAGTGGGATGTATGTTTACATCCAGTAGGTAACTGGCATTGTGTAATGCGTATTTTTCAACTTTGATTTTTTTTTTTTTTAACTTTAAAAAAATTTTTTTTTTTTTTGGTACTAGGAATCGAACTCAGGATCTTGCAATTGCCAGGCAGGCGCTTGTGCTGCTGAGCTATATCCTCAGCCCCTACCTTTGCTATTTTAATAGAGGAAAGGACATACCATTTCAGTTGTATTTATTTGATTTTTAACATTTTCTGGTAAACTTCATAAGCAATTATATTTCTCTCTCTGTGTTATGTGCCTTTCAGTCATTTGTGTGTCTTTAATATTCTATTAATTTGAGCAATCTCCTTGTAGAATAAAGATATTAGCCCACTGTCTTGGTCTGCAAATGTTTTTCCTAGCTTGTTCAGCAATTTCTCTGAATTATTACAGTGCTTTGCTGTGGATTTTTCGTTATTTTTAATATGCTTTAACTATTTCTGAACTTACTTATGTATATTGTGTGAAAAAAGGGGTCCCTGTTAATAACCAGTTAAAGAAGAAAATAGACACAATATGTTGTGCAGAACCTGGACCTGGACCTCCGGCTTTGTTTCACTGGCTTATCACCCTATTTTGTTATACATCTATACTCTTTCATTATTGTGCTTTAAAAAGTATGTGTATATGTGTGTTTATATACCTGCTTATCGAAGACACTGTTTTTTCTTCCAGATGAAAATGTATGTTTATTAATTGAAAACAGCCTTTTGATTATTGCAAAGAATTTATGCATGAATTAGGATTCACATTTTTTGTTTTGATCTTAGCATCTAGGAATGTAATATTGTCCTTTCTTGTATTCAAAATTTTTTATCAATAAAGTTATATAGTTTTCTTCTAAGGTCACATTTTCTTTAGTTATTCCTGTTTTTGTGGTGTGGGATTTCTCATACAGGGTTTTTCTTCTATTTCTCATAACAAAAATGGACATTTCAGGAACAGGGTCACTTCATTGTTGCCAAGGAATTCTCACACTCCAGAGCCAGACTAAGCACATGGGTGCTTCACACAGTCTCCCGCGATAACCCCAGGCAGGCATGAAGCCAGCCAAACTCTGTGCTTTCAGAAGCAGAGAGCTGCGCGTTCTTTCACACATGTGACTAACAGGTCGACAGTCTCACTCTGCTCCCTTCATCTAGGTAACTCAGAAAGACAGGGCCATAGATGCACTTGAAATGTTGGTGAAAGCTGGGGACCCCCCAGGGAAATGCAGAGAAGCCTAGTGTGCAGGTATGTGTTTGCGCGCACACACGTTCACACTTACCACCTTGGGGTCAGGATGGCCCTACCCGAGGCCTCAGCTTGGAATCTTCTTTCCTGAGAATTCCACTTGGGGAGATGTCAGTACACGTGGGACAGTGATGCCTTTACCAAAGATAAATCTTTAGAGGAGCACGCAGCCCCGCATGCTCACCAAACTGGCCACTTGGTGTACGTGCTCCTCTCATACCGGTAGCCCTCCATCCCTGACTCGAACACACAGTACACCAGCACCTAAGCTGGGAACCACAGCAGCTGCACCGAATCCCCGCCACATCAATCGGACAGAAATTGCACACGTACAGATCATACGTCGTCACGCGGAGACACCAAATCACATTACACAAAACTACTCTGTCATAGATGCAAAAATCACACTCAGACAATCCTGTATGGACACCCAAACTACACCCTGCCCTGTGCTACACACAAACTTCCATTCAATGACAAATGTACCACATCCAAGGGGGAAAAACCCTGAAACACGCACAAAGTTACGATTTCCACATAGCATCAGCGTGTCCCCCTCATATCCCTTCCTAAGTCGTAGCGGCACACGGAGCTCACCACTGCAGTCAGTGACCGACGTTACAGGAATACCCTCTGCGGAGAGGCCGCCTGCGCAGTGCGAGAAGCGCCAGGAGGCTTGGAGGAAGTCTCCCGGCACCCGGCCCTGGGCATTCTCTCTGCCTGCCCTCCGGGTCACCGTAGTTAGGCCGCGGTCGCTCCTTAC